CTGGTTTCACAGAGCTTGGGTTTCCTTTTTTTTTTTTTAAATCTATTTATTTATGGTTTAGGCTATTATTTGTCTCACGATGTAGATTGTCTAAGATAATTTCACCGCGTTTGTAGGCAAAGCAGACATTTTGTATTTGTATTTTATTGCAATCTTCGTAACGGCATGAGTCATGACTATGACTAACTATAGTCCTTTTTTTTATTCGTAAAAGGCCGTTGTCCGCGGATTGCTCGGTGTTGTCTAATCCAATCCGAATTTATTCTGTCCAATCAGGGCGCGTCGCCTCTAGAGTAAACGGAACTCACGTGGAGAATTTGGCTGAACTTCATTGTTAGAGCTGTCACCCATGAAAAGGCTTCTCCAGCGGTCCACTATAAAACCCCTGGAAGAGAGAGAGACGGGCAAGAGCTCCTTCATTCTGCCCTTTTGGACTCTAATCTACGCAAGCCATTGCAGTGAGAGTAGTAGCACGTGAATTCGCTGTCATTTTCTTTAAAAACGGTGCAATGATGTTGCCAAGTGTTATTGCGCCACCTGCTATGTATCCGAACTTTCTGCGGCCCTCGGCGGCTCTTTCCTTGCCTCCCACTTTCCACTCGGCGTTCACCGCGCACTCGAGCTTCCTGGTGGAGGACCTTTTGCGGATCAGCAGACCTGCCACCTTCATGCACAGGAGCATCCCGTCCCCAAGTGCATCTCCTCCGGCCACAGGAGCCACAACTCTGAACAACTCCTCCGCTGTCCACGTCGCCATGTCCACGTCTTTGCCAAAAAGATCAAGCTCTCCACAAACTTCAATTTCCAACGATCCAAATTACTTGAAGTTTGGAGTGAATGCGATTCTCGCGTCAACAACACGAAACGGTAGGTTTCTCATTTGTTTATAAACTAACAACTTAATGTAGGCTAATTGATAAAACGTCACATTTTTCTTAATGTTTGTTTGTTTAAAGTAGCCTACGCTAGTTAAGAAAATAGCGATGACACTCAGGTTACGCATTTGCCTACTTTTTTTGTCACATTCAACTTGTACAAGTTGACTTCATTTAATTGATGTCCATTTTATTTTGTGTCATAGTTTCACCACCACCTTCAGTGCACGGGATGAATGCGAAAACATTCCCGTTCCCATGTTTTGACGGCTCATTCCACCCATTCATCAGAGCATCATATTTCCCAGGTGGGTCAACTACACTATTCATACAAAAATCGCTGTGTCACTTCTTAATTCGGTCAAACTGATGGGCTTTCAGAATGTGCTTCCAATGCTGGAATTTGTAGGACATTGTGGAATCAGTCTCGCTAATTTGATGCCCTATTTAGCAAACGCAGTGACTGCTGACATTTTGCACCGCTTCCCCTAATCCACAAATTAGCCGGAATTGTCATGGTCCCAATTAAAGGCGGGTCCACTCTCACAAGCAAACTGTTGGCTTCTCTTCATCGCTGCCTTTTCCCACCGAGCCAGTGTACTTAGTTACTGATTGGCAACAATGCTTTCAGCACCATGACCAATTGGTCAGCTCCCTCTGGGCAGCCACACACAGACCCGTCGTTGACTTGAGCATGCTGCTGATAGGCATTTACCAGTCATGGACTAATTCCCCTATTAGCTTCTATTCAGTGTTTCAATATTCTCACAAGACCACATAGCGTGTGGGGAGTCTTCACGGGACGTCCAAGCTAAAGTTTTGGTCTCATGTAGCAGCATGAAAATTGCTTAACACGGTGTAGTCTTAATTAGGTTACTGTGTGTCTCAAGTAGCAATATTATGGATTGTATAGTTACTTAAAATTTACTCTAAACAATTTAATGTTTACAACAACTGTATTTCAATGTGGGTTAACGCTAAATCTATTACGTATACCTCAGAGAAAACCAATAAAAGTGGGTCTACTTTGCGTTAAGCTTCATGTCCATCACTCCAGTGAATGCGGGCTACAAATAGCCTTGTGGATCGTGCACTCATTCAGACCAACGATAATAGACTGATTCTTTTCACCGCGGTGTGAATACGTCAACAAAACAACTTGAGCAGTATGAATGGCTTTTCGTGTCCATTTAATGAAAATATTTGGGGGCAAACATAGTCCCCCGCCATCAGTATTCTCAAAATGTCCCTGGCATGCCGTTGTGTTTAGTTTTTAAGTGTAAATCTCTTTTGTGGCCGTAATATATGGCTTTAGTGGCCTGTCCTAAGCCTTTTTCAGTCAGTTCATTACTACACAATTACCGTCCACGCTTCATTAGCACCTCTATCTTTCACTGGAGCGCTCTGAATGACTGCTCGCCCTTGTTACCATACCAATGCTTTTGGGAACCAAGCAATGTGCTAATTAGCTTCCTCGTTCCGTATCACTCAAATGGACTGGTTTAAAAAAAACATTAAAGCCCAACTTTCATTCCAAGCCCAATGAGTACTTCCTGTTCTTAGAAAACACCAATGTTTTCACCAATTTTGAGGGAAACGTTAATAATATCGACTTTTAAAATAATTTGTTTAGTTTCTTTTTCTCTTATAGCATCTTCAGCAGTGCCCATTCCCGGAACTTTCGCATGGCCGCTCACGGCTCGAGGGAAGCCGAGGAGAGGAATGCTTCGACGGGCAGTCTTCTCTGACGTGCAGCGCAAAGCATTGGAAAAGATGTTTCAGAAACAGAAGTACATCAGCAAACCAGACAGAAAGAAATTGGCGGCGAAACTTAGCCTCAAAGACTCTCAGGTAAGCTGAAGTTGTCCACAAACATATTTTTTGTATCGTACCTTTGTGTGGATGTCTGAGGTAAATTGGTCGCGCTTATGTTTTGCTTACTCTTTGTTGCCAGGTAAAAATTTGGTTCCAAAACCGAAGAATGAAATGGCGCAATTCCAAAGAAAGAGAGCTTCTCTCGTCAGGAGGTTGCAGGGAACAAACTTTGCCTACGAAAATGAACCCCAATCCTGACCTGAGCGACGTTGGAAAAAAGTTCGAAAATGACGCGGCTCTGAGAGAAAGCCCGCGCGCGCCAATCAGAGATCACGAGCTCAACGCAGATTTACTTTTCAAGTCGCCTTTGATTTCCAGCAAGCACTCAGACTTCTCAGAATCAGAGGACGAGGAAATAACCGTGTCATAATCATTAAACAGACTGTGTAATTTCCAGTGAGTTATGTTTATGCACAAAAACTTTCAGAAACGTTGTACACGGTAGCTGTGTGAACTTTACTGATAGGAAAGCTTTCAGTTGAAGGGACAATGTTGTAACCGCTGCGTTTTTGGCAGCTTGTATAGTGTTTTCTGTATGAATATTTTGTATGGAATTTTTATACTAAGATTATTATAATCTTTCTTAAATGATTTGGGATACTTGTCTATAATCTTAAATACGTAGATGGCACATTTCTAACTTAAAAAAATCTTATATTATTTTGTATACTGATGTTTTTTGTAAAAAATGTATATAGCCTACATGTGAACAAAACTATTTTTACAAATTAAAAATCCAAAGCAAAATACCAACTTTTCATTTCATTTTTGTGTTTGTCTGCCTTGAAATGATAATTTTATGTTATTTACATGGCCATACATATCATTTTATTTAATTTTTGCCTAGATTGAAAAGATACACTTTTTCTTAATTTACAAGCAATATTTGTAACTGCGTGTCTGGAGACAGTTTAAACAAATAAACTTAAGTAAAAATAAAAAGTGATAAGACGAAATGGCTCACATTTCCCAGTAGTGGTCCCCAATATTATCAGTCCTGCCAATGATAAATGAGACAATTTGACGACTTGTTTACTCCTTCCTCAACTTCTGAAAAACACAACTGTTGACAACTCGCCACTGAATAACTGACAGAAACTGATATTTGAACAGGAAAATGATCACATTTATTGCAAAAAGGGTCACATGCGATCACTAGGCTGAAAAAGATAATTAAACATGAACAACTTTAAAACCATTTCTCTTAAAGACTACACCAACAACAAAATATGAGGCAAATATTTACAAAAATATAGTACAACTGAAAATATACACAAATAAAATCAAAACTTGTTGCAATTTATGGAAAATTAGACTATTTGCCTCTTTTATTTTTTATTTTATTTAAACTCATTTCAATAGGCTATATTCACACAATTGTTTTCCCATGTAGATGTGTTTAAAGTAAAAATAATAATAATAAAAAATCTTTATCTTGGCAGTACTTGAAGCACAACAAGATTATTTGGCGGGATATAACACAGAAACACACAAACAAGAACAGAAATACTCTATTAAAACATGTTCCAGGAAATTATCTTAAACATAAAAAAAAAATAATAATAAAAAAAAAAAAAAACACCCCGACATTTTCTTGGGGAACCAAATGCAATCTTTTAAATAAAGCAACACCCAGTAATCCATTTGGATCTCATGCTAATATTTGCCACATTAATACTGCTGAGGGGGGCACTAGACACGCTAACCCTCAATTCAGACTAAAGCACATCACACGGATCCATGTGCCAGACCTTTTCAAATGTATGTCTAACTACCCCCCCTGAAGTTTCTTTCTCCCTTCAACAAGTATTTTAGAAAAACATACTCTTACACTGAACAAAGAGGACTCACATTTGTTCCTCAGAATTATTTGGGAATGAGAATTATAAAAGAGAGGTCCGTTTTGGCTTTATTGTATGTCTTCCTAATATCAACAGGTTGCATTGTATAATGCCACTGTCTCTTGATGGATGTCTGTGATGGTTTTTGTGTATTCAGATTGTTGAATGAACCACATTCAGTTGACTAAAGTTTTACCAGAGATTCGGTCATGATGAATTTAAATATTCTTTGAATGTAACAATATTGCATAGAGATTATTGTACTACATTAAGAGGCAAAAAATATTCTCCTGGCACAAAATGATAGAACATATAATATCACTTTGATATTGTATCAACACTTTTCCAAACAAGTTACCAAAACACTCTTTTTTTTGCCAAAAAGCAACCACAATATAGTTCACATTACACTATATATCTCTGTTAGGTCCCACAGATAGTGCATCATTTGAAGGCTATAATGTCCTTGCATTATTTGTATTTGTAGAAAGGTAGAAATCTAAGACATACGCAAGCCCATTTCAACCTATTACACAAAAATTGTAAGGCATTGTTCTCAAGTTCAGCACCAAAGAAGTTCACTAGTGCATTAAAGTCAGGCAACATGAGATCCTTTTAGAAAGTATAATATGAAAGAAAATAAATGTGACTTGGTACCAGTGTTCAATTTGAACTAGGTTGTTCTCCTTATTGAACAGACTTATACCGCCATCTACAGTCCATTTGAGGAAATAATGCTCTCTGAAGCTCTTGAGCATGTTTTCCCTCGATAAGTGTCTTACTGAGCAATGATGATTTTTCCGGGTTTCCAGCACCCTGTTCTGCAGGTTTCCAGCACCCTGTAGATTCACAGAAAGCCGGATCTGATATTAAAAAGTCTCCATTTCGTAATTTAACATTTGAAAGTGTTTTCACAGTGTAGATTCTAGTGAAGAGTCACCAAGACTGTTGCTGGTGGAATCACTATCATAGCTCTCCGTTCCAGTGCAGTGGGCCGTCTCCTTCAGCCTCATTAACATATTCATCTGTGGTGATAGGAACAGCTTATATTACATAGTAAAATATAAAACTATATATATATATTATTATTTTAGACACAGATACATCAGAGATTTTTTATTTGTATACTTTGAGTGAACATTCAGTAATATATTCAAAATGAACTATGCTAATTGTCATCATCTAGATAAAAATAAGAATGATATATATATTTATATATATATTTATCAGGGCTCGACATTAAGCCTTGTCATGTGGCAAGTAAATCGGTCATTCACTTGTCCGAGTAAAAAAAGTTGCTGGTCCGGAAAGAAATAGGATTTTGGTGTTAATATTAATAAATATAATTTATTCTGAAGCAATATTCCCATTAAGTGTTCTATCAGCTTTGACATGTTTAAATCTGCATATTTGTGATATTTACCCAGAGGTATTTTTTTTAATCTTATTAAATGTATGCTTCATCTTTCATTTCAAATTCTTAAATTTGATTAATAAATTCAATTAGAATAAGACTGTTTGGCTGTTACCAATCAAATTAAATAATTTACACTGACAAATTACAACTGCATTAAAGGAGCTGTATGTAAGATTGTGGCCAAAACTAGTACTGCAATCACTGTCAAATTACTGTAGAGTGGTGTATCCCCTCCCCCTCCTCCCTGACTCGAGGTTGCCAGATAGGCTGCAGGATCCAGCAGGAACGTGACGAGCTGCAGCTGTGGTAACTACAGCAGAGCTGGCAACCCGGATGCTGCAACACTACTGACTTCGTGATTGGTAGATAGGTGGAGGGTGGAGCATCAGACCAAAACACAACATGACAACATCAACATCAGTTGAGGGCTGCAACTGCACTTTTTAAATGACAATATCCTGGCCAGACTACTGTTGTCAGTGATATAAGTATTTGTAGTGAACATGATTTCTTAATGTCTAGTGACATTTCAGGGCCATTTTATGATTAATTTAAATGAATTTCTTACATACAGCTCCTTTAAATAATGTTACGAGATTGTTTTAAATATTTTAAGAATGATTCTTTTAAACATGAAACTAAAGCGCCAGTAGGTGGCAGGGGGTGACCGTCATGGAGTCATTCATTCAAACGATTCGTTCAAACGGCTGATTCATTCAAGAATGAGGAAGTTGTTTATGTTGTTTCATTGAATCTTTGACTCGACCGATTCGTTTAAAATACTGAATCATTCAGTAATAAAACAAGGCTGAGTGTTTCTGTGAGATGCACTATGGTTCTGCTGTGATCTTTGGAACTATTTTCACTGCTGAAACGGAACAAAAACATGGCCTAAATATTGCATCTAAAATGTAAGTGACTTTATTTTAAGTACTTGTTTATTAAAGGCCCACTGAAGTGCCTTGGAACGTGCAGCTTTGTACGATGCATTGACGGAATTTCCACTGAAACAGGAAGCTAAGGCGGGACATATTGAATGGCTCCTCCCCCTTTTCAAATCGCCAATAGCGTTTAGTTTACCTCACAGACTGCAAGTCGTACTTGACAACACCATGGAAGCGAATCTGAGCGCCGATGATACGTTGGATTCAATAGTAGAGGTATGAATACATTCTAGCCATTTCATTCTTAACCAACGTACAGTCAGAGCCCGTCTAACGGAGAGCCTTGGCACTTCCTATAAGCCCCATTGTATCATATTGGTTGCAGTTCCATTAGAATTCCACTGGAGGTGATCGCGGGCGAGTGCAGACTGAATGGGAGTCTATGGAGCTAAACAGCTAAATGTATCTCTTTCTCCAGCTTGTCGTTGAATCAACGTAGATTTTATTGTTGATTCCGCAAGTTCAATATAGATTATAGGCCAAAAGTCGAATGAACGAGTTTTATGCCCTTTCGATTTCTTACAGGTTAGGCCGTTGTTGGCCGGAACACGCTAGCATTCTGCTATTATGTGACGTCATCACATTTTTGAACGGGTTTTTAGAACAGATAAGTGAACTTAAAAATGCAATTTTCAGCTGAGTGTATTATCTTAGCCCTCCCTTTTAAATGCAACTTTCAAATTACTTGACAAAAAATTACATCCTGAGAAAAGTGGATTTCTGGGGGTGAAACCCCATAGACTCCCATTCATTCTGCACTCGCCTGCGAGCGCCCCCGCATGGACAGAGACGTGTTACTGCAGCCAGTCCAGAAACCGGAAGTAACCAAACAGTGCCAATTCTCTTCAATTAGACATTCTCTGGTACAGTTGGAATAAGGAATAAAGCTTGAGCGTTTGAGCAACCGAACTCGCATTTCAAACCCATATTGCTCCGTGACGTGTCAACGGTAGTGATGTCCAGTTCGTGAATGACTCATTCTTTTGAACCGGTTCTTTTTAGTGAACCGGTCGAACCAGTTCACCAACTCGAACTGAATCGTTAAAAACAGTTCGCGTCTTGAGTCAGCACTGATCCACAGTTTTCTAAAGTTACTCGCTTACGGACGTGCCTGACAATCCCTCTGACTCGAAATAAACCAATATCCATGTTGTGCTGAGAGAACTGATGAGCACGAGCAGCTGATACTGAGCATGCGTGTACTACCGAACGTACAGGTAGCCATGGTCGATTTGGACAGGTGGTATTTATAGCATAGGAGGCGGGAAACTTTAGATTCTAGAGAGCATTTGATTGGACAGAAGATGTGATGAGAAGCTGAAGTCAGCGGTGATGTTATAAAAATCCATGATCCAATTTAGCAGAAGTGAGAGACTGTAAGTTTTGAATGCTTATATCTCCTAAATGCAAATTTTGTCATTGTTTTGGAACACACCAGCTTATTCATAACCTTAAGGCTAATATATTCATACTAAGACCTGAAAACTTTCAGGGGGCCTTTAAACTGTCGTATGAAATCAGTGTTACATTTTCAGTCGTATTCAGGAAAACGTTAATTTCGAGCCCTGTGTGTATGTATATATATATATATACACACACACAGCCACATATATCAGAGATATTTGGGTTCTAAAACTTACCAGTGGGTCTTCTTCTGATTTTCCCTGAGCAGGTTGTTTGCCTGGACTGCCCTCCTGAGATATATTGTACCCGTCGAACCCTACGTCCTCTGGCCGAAGTCGCAGCAGGGAATGCCATTCGTGTTGTTGTGGACTTGCCACCCAAGGGAAGCTCTCCATCACCCACTTCGCCGGGTCTTCCCATGCTGCCTTGCGCCCATACATCTGCAGAACACACGGGGGAAGTGTTCGTTTGCTTGCTTTGGCATCCTACTATAGTAACAGATACAACATATGATGGAAGATGGCCTTACCTGTAGCCCTTCTCTCACAGCCTCGAGCATGTAAGGAATGATGGAGTAGTTCCACAGATCGGTGAACCACACTCTTGAGCCTTCTACATCCATTGGGCAGGACAGAAAGAGCCGAGGACCTACGGTGATTTTATTTATATAAACCATCATTAGAAGGAATTGAGAAACTATCAGGTAGGCATCTGGGTGATTGTGACTGGCTGTGGCCTCACTCACCAATTGTGACATCAGAAGAACTATGTGTTTCCAGAAAGCGGTTGAGATTATGCCAAACACACGGGATCCACTCTATAATTTTAACTAGTTCGCCGTTCCTCACACGACTGCTGATCTCGGTTTCTAGAAGCCTCCGCCGCAGGAATCGACCCAGAAAACCTTTCACTGGTTCAGTATGATTGGCACATAAAACCCATCTGAAATAAGAGACCAGGTATAAGACCAGTTTCACCTTTATCCATGCATAATAATAAGCTCAAGCTAAATTAGCTTTGAGAAATGCTTGTGGGCCCTCTTGTGGAGATTTGGGGTATAGCACCCAGCTAACTCCAGTTGTACAGTATATGCTATATCATAATAAAACAAGTTTAATTCATCTAAAATAAAAAAGGTTATTTTAATTATTTTATATATACACACACACACACACACATATATATATATATATATATATATATATATATATATAAAAGGTATTTTAATGATTTCACTATATATTTATATAATTTTAGTTATATAAGTATATAATAAACAAAAAAAAAAAATCTAATGAATAAATAAGGAAAATAATGCTAATACAGCATCACACTGTAATCTGAATGGGATTATACCTGAAATTATGATGAAGATGTAGATTTGGAGTGGGTGATGGGGTTTGATTCATGGTTCCAATGATGCATGGACTGTGAGAAAATAATACAAATAAATATAAATTAAATATATTGCGAAACATGAAAATATCTGCATTTTCACAGAATCCTTCATTGATATAAACTGTTGTGTGTGCTCACCACTGGTGGTTTTTGCAGTTGAGCAGCCCGTTGAAAATCTCGGCCAGCGAACTGACATGGTGAAGGTTATCCAGTATGAGCACCACAGGCATGTCCACAGCCGGTTCACTGTTTTTACACTGGTCCGCCAGGTTCGACAAGTACTGCTTCAGCTCCTGTATAATACACATTGTACCTTATTACAGGAACCTGAAAGCGAAACCTTGGTTTTTTTAAGCACTAAAGGCGTTTCAAATCAATTGCGCTTCCCATAATCTCCCACTGCTGACAATAAAAATTAAGTAGCATATAAACCTGTTAATAAATGATTGCATTCCATATTATTTTTTCAAGCAGCTTCGCTGACCTTAGTAGTTTTGTTATCAACATTGAAGGTGGCGATTGCTTGATGCTCCAGATGTTTTCCCTCTTTTCGGACCATGTACTCGGCTAGTCTGCTGGCCAGAAAGCTCTTCCCTGTGCCAGAGGGCCCTGAAAAGATGATTCGTCTGTGCTCCTCAAGCTGAGAGATGTATCGCTGCAGAACCGGCTTTGGAATGAGCGTCTCGAATGCCAAACTGTCCAGACTGCTGTCAGACAAGTCTGTTGAAGGAGAGAGAGGGTTTGGATCACGAGGAAACTGCCAGTGACCTCTTTTGTCAATGTGTCATGTTTTCTTATGAAAGAGCAATAAGCGTACCTTTCAGCTTGACAGAGATGGTATCGCTTTCTCCCACAAGATAACCGCAGGGCAGGAGTTCTGGTGTATCTGCATCACTGGCGCGATGGATGTCTCCAATGCTGTACTCCATCACACTGTCAGTGTTCAAGCCCAACTGTGTGACAGGGTCTACACAGATGATATATTCCTGTTGGAGTGATAGAAACATGACGTGTGATTGTGTTGTGAAGAAGTTTTCAGCTCAAATGTCACTAAACTCCAAGCTAAGGAGTTTTTGTACCTTAAAAAGGCGTCTGACTACCCCATCTAGTACGTCCCATTTGGTTTTTCCACTGACACCAATGCAGCCCAGCAGGAACTGAGAGGGTCTACACTCCTGCCAAAAGCAACAGAAAGAACTGCTTGAAGCGACACTGATGGGATCACAGGGTTATTTTTGCTGAAATGTCTTTGACTTGTACCTCTTTCCAGTCTGGATCCTTCTCCAGACTGACCACAACCTTCACATGCTGTCCCTCTTTCCAGGAACTTCCATCTCCACTATCTTCTAGCAACATATCTAAGCATCAACAAAGAATTTCAATAGTTTATAACCGATTTCTTTGAAAAATACCGTAATTCTTAAATTTGAAAAGTCTTTTATACCTAGGCTTGTGGATTCTGTGAGGCTAAGTTGAGAGGAAAGGCCCACAGATGAAGGGGAGATGGACATCTGAGAAGGAGCTCTGTTACCGCTTCCTCGGCTCTCAATCTTTAATCGGTCATTTTCCACTTTTAGCCTTTCGATCTCAATCTATTCGAATAAAATTACGTTTGTGACACCTCTACAAAATTAAGTAACATTACATCAAAACATATTGAATCTTTGAGTAAGTATGTATAAGAGCATTTAAAAAATGTGTTTAAGAAGATGCTCACTTGCATGCGGTTCATGGATTCGCGAAGCTGGTCCAGTTGGTGGGCAGAGCTTAAAGCCTCCAATCTGATGTCTGTAAGTTTCATTTCTTTATCACGCAGATCACTGCGCAACTGCATGACTGTTTCAGCCTCACTGTCCGTACACTCAGAGATCCTGTGAAAAACACATACGTAATATCACACACACAAAAAATAAATAAATCAAGATTGCTTTGAAATGCATTAGTAAAACAAAAAAATAAAACAAATTAAAGATATAAAAATATAAAAAATACAAAGAAATTCAAATTAAAATAAAAAAATCAAGCAATATATAAACAAAATAAATAAATACAAAAAAAAAAAAAAAAAATACAATCATTTAAGATTAGTTTAGTGTTTTGGAAAAATCACAAACCATCAGAAAATGATTAACTGTGAAAGCGAATTTCTATTAATGAACTGTAGAAGTAGTGAATGAATACCTCCATTCAGAAATAGCAGCAATACTTAATTATTTATGAATCAGGGCACACAGTGTTTTAAAACTGGTAGTTGCTCAGGATGAATACATCCTGAAAGGCTAATCTAGCAGTCATTGGTTGAACATCAGTTCTTGGCATTGTGTTCTTGGAACTGATCATTGGTATGATTTGTGCCATTCTCTTTTACCGTGCCAGTGAGGCAGACCTCATGGTCTTGCTGCTACAGCCCCAGACAGGCCCATGTGCAGGCAGGGAGGACAGTTGAGGACTATGAACATACACATATATCAACCATGAGAGAAACTCTGAGGGTGTTCCATGTTGCATTGGACATTTATAAACTGTTATATCCGACAGTGCCATCACATTGAGAGTTACTCAGTAGCACCATAAAATCTCAGTGTGTGTAACTTTTTAGTTTATAAAAAGGGTGGTATTTTCCAAATACACCACCTAGTCCTAGACTAAATCACATTGTAAATGGTGCTTGTCTATTATAAATCCTTCCTCCATCCAAAACAAGGGTTTAAAGGGATAGTTCACCAAAAAAAGAAGATATTTTGAAGAATGTCAGTAACCAAACAGTTTGAGAGTGAGTAAATAATGACAGAATTTTAATTTTTTGGTGAACTATCCCCTTTAAGAAGTTTCCAGAAATGTGCTAACGAAACCAAAATTGTTAACAGATTATTATTATTATGGGAAAATAAGAAATAATAATACATTGATTATTTATAACCTATGAATAATATAATAATAAAAGAAATATAAAAAATACTAAAATTAAAATATATTTTTTTTAAATAATAATAACTACCAATAAATACTAATAAAAATAAACAGTAATAAATAATAATAATTATACATTTTATTAATGTAGAATTAATAATAAAATATTTAATTTTGTTTTAACTCCAGCACACTCATTCTGAGATTAAATAAAAATAGAATAAGGGATTATGGGTATAGTTTGGGTTCATTGTAAAACTATTTTCAATAACAGATTTTATTATTATTATTAATAAAAAAAAGAGTAATAAATGAATAAAATAAAATGCATTAAAATAATAATAAATGATCATTATTATTATTGTTGTGAGGATCTTACAGAGAGTTGGAGTGGGATTTGCGTATCATGGGAGAAGAGGCTGTCGATCCGCTATATGGAAGTTTGGGTGAAGATGGCAGAGAAGAGTCCGTCATCTCTTCAATGTCCGAGTGAGAGGATGCCGATTTGGGAGACTTTTTCTTCCCGAACGCTTGTTTAAAGGAGCTCCGCAGCTGTGGAAGAAACAAATCTGTTACTATGACACTTTTGTCACAATATCTGTTAGTGGTTACAATCCTTTTTTACGTTTATCTTTAAGAACGATCCCTTTAAAACTGGCAAAGAGTATAAAAGGTTATATTAAAGATATTCTGAAGGAGATATTTATCTCATCTTACCTCAAACACCTGTACCATGATATGAAAGCACAGGGGAAATCGGACAAAAACATTTAAACACCTTAACTAAAATGTTAATCGCTTTTGGTAGAGTTTAATATAATCTAAAAATGTGTTTTGGATCCAATCTATGACATTCTGAAGGAGGGGAGATCATCTACACTACATACATTGAATAAATCCAGTACTGGTGCCATCTCTAAAACCACACAACACAATCAACACTATAACAACAAGGTTAGAATCACATACATAGTTATCAGGTGCTTTTCCTCCCCCAGATGATACAGCCTGAATGCAAGAGGACAAATGAATTTATGATACCGATAACTGATATTCATTCTAAACTTTCAACAAAAACAAAGCCAATAGGTATCAACCCACAATTTTAAAGGCCAATTCACACCAACTCACAATGTCGTTCTGTTTATAAGCACATGCTGCAGTTCTGTCGTCTGCCACTTTAAATGCTCGAGCTCTTTAAAGCAACATGGACTCTGATTGGCTGTCAATGTTTTTATTAAAAATCATTCTGAAAGCATTTCTGAAACGACATCGTATCTCTGTGCTGTTATCTTTATAGTTGTGATGTGGACTCTGCTATTCTTTTATATTTAGAAAGATTTTTAGAACTATATCTTTAATGTTATCATTACAGTTATCATCCTTGGTGTGAAGAGACATTGGCAGCTAAAAAACTAGGACACTTTTTCTTTCGTAAAGTATTCACATTTCCTCCACCACATGAAGACCGATGGCGAAAAAAAAAAAAAAAACGTTATTAAAATAATCAAATCTAGTCTTGGTCTAACTCCAAATAGCCTGTTTAGTCTTGGAGAGAAGCATCTATTAGGAGAAAAGAAGATATTTTAGAAGAACTGTATGCATTGGATGGACAGGCTGGAACACTTACCCAGTTCTTCTTCTTCTTCTTGTTCTTAGCGTCGAGCTCCAGGTTGCTGCCGATGCTGGAGTGGCTGGTGGCGCTGGTCATGCTGGAGACGCTGTCCGAGGAAGGCTGCCTGTGGATCCGCAACTCCCGCCGGGACTGAGGCGACCCGCTAACAGAGTCTAGAGAAACTGAGGGAGAGAAGGAATAATAAAAACGAAGCATAGGCAAAAATGTGTGTTACTGTTTATTTTACTGTACTAAAGACATTGAGAGCTCACCCTTGCGGTTTGTTAATGTTGGGTCTGGTGTGTTAATGACTCCATTGATTGTGGCTTGAGTCGCCGAGTTCTGCTTCTGAAGGAGCTCAATGTTCTTCCTCAAGTCACTCAGCTCTGTGTCCTGCAGATAAAAAAATATTAAACGACAAAATCATTTTTAAATACCACATAAAATGCTATTTAGACTCTTTATGATGCTGTTTTCCTCATAGGGACATTTTCACATGGTACAATTTTCAGGTTAGAGTATCTCCATGAGGACTTCTTCAGATATTCTCATCCCCACAAGAATAAAAAAAGCAGCTCTTTCTCACACACACCTTCTGTTCCGCTGTCGTCGTCAGACTCTGCAGCCGGATGGTCATGTTTCCTAAACTCTGCTCAAAAGCCGCCACAAGGTGAGACTGGGGACACACAATTTCATTTACAAGGTAAATCAGTTATATTTTAATAAGCAAAATGCCATAAATGGACAAAGACTCGGAGCAGTAGTAGAGTTAAACCAGATGTTGAGCAGTCAACTAAAGCACGATCACATTTCTAGAAAAATGTGGGTTGCAGCTTGTCAGTAATGCATCTAAAAGTGCCAAATATGTCTGCGAGACTGGGCTTTGTGATAAAGACAAGCTGTGGCATGAACTTGGGTTGTTAAGCTGCAGAAACTGGTAAAAGCTCCATTTATCTCCATTGCCAGTTTAAAGACCCTCACCTAAAGTAAACAAACCAGGAATATAAAACAGAAATACCTTTTAAAATTGTATTGATGATATATTTTCAATAACAAATAATAAAATTACAAAATAATAACTACTACTAATAAATAACACATAATAAACTTTTATAAACTATATTGAATAGAATTATCATGATTCTTATATAATATTAGTAGGTAACGCATTATAAAAATGTATTTATAATATATTACATATATTTTTAACAACAATAAATATAAAATTATATATAATATATACTATTATAATGCTACTATACACAAAATATTGATTTGAGTTTTTATATTTTATTAGCTCGCCAAACACAAAAATTCCACAAAGAAAAAACTTTCCTAGCAAGCTTATAGCACTGACTTCAGTTAGCCGGATGAGATGTTATCAGTTTATACCGGTTGTTATTGGTTAATAACATACCGCTGGGTGGCACGATTGACCAATTAGAATCAAGTATTCCACAGAGCTGTGGCATAATAAACAATATACATCCCACAAAACACACCAACAACTGCAATTTAATTAAACTTTTGTGGTATGTATATGGAAAACCACAAAGTAATGTTCACTAAATGTCCATTAATATGAGTCACACAACCTGTTCCACGACAACAAAAGATTAATCTTGAGAGCTCAAATTATCAATCAAAATCCTCAAAATAAACTCCCTCAGGGTAACATCATAAAAAAAAGCTCATAAAATTAACCATTAAAATCATCATAAAAAGACAAACAGAGCAGTCAAACCACAATCTTTAGCCCACCTCACTGAGTTCTCGCTTCCTCCATTTTACTTGGCTCTTGGGCTGTCTGAGTGGCTTTGGTTTAGTCCTCTCACAGACCGTCCTCAAGGATGGGTAATAATTCAGAGGCTGCCAAATTACTCGAGTGCGGTTAGCTTTGCCTGTCAACATCTCTGGGGTGATGAACTGCGTGTGAACTGAGACACCAAGGACGACGTGCACCTTAGATTTCTGCTCAGTCGAAGCCGCCAAAAATTAGCAACCACGCTCGTACACAGGTTACACAACAAGCGTATCAACATGCAACATAAGCCGATAATCAAGGAACTGGAGATCTGGATGACTTCCATTGGAGGGAGTCACAGGTTTGTGTTTGGGCATGTGCTGTTTCAAACATCAGATAACCTTCAATAAATTTTCCTCAAAGGGATTTTTATCATCCAAGCAGAGTAGCAGTCGGTGCATTTGTGTGTGCAAAACTTTAACAAACACCCAGAAGTGCAAAAGCCTCCAGTTTTGTTTGTGAAGCCTGTATGAGAGTTGACGGATGGATGGGGGTTTTAGGATGTGACGATTCATTAGGTTGTGTAGGCCAAATGCGGGCTGTCATATTTGTTGTTATTGAGCAAATAATTCCACTCCGCATGACACACAGATCAAATTACAAACAATCTTACTCAATACACTGTAAAACACAAGAACAAAAGTTAAAATCACTCTTTTACCAACTGTTAAAGGTGTACAAAAGTGGACAAAACACTTTAGTCCACTAAAATCCAACATGAACCAGTTCTGTAATTACTAACCACATCTTTGGTAACACCACAATTTCCCGAAGCCAAAAACCATTTAAAATGACCACTGAGCATATATACACACCGATGAGCCAAAACATTATGACCACCAGCCTAATCTGTGGTTGGTCCTCCGCGTGCTGCTGAAACAGCACCGACCCACCGAGGCATGGACCCCTGAAGGTGTCCTGTGTTATCTGGTACCAAGACATCCCCAACAGATCCTTCGAGTTCTGTAGGCTGCGAGGTCGGAGCCATCGTGGAACTTGTTGGTCCAGCACATCCCACAGATGCTCAACTGGATTAAGATCTGAGAATTTTGGAGGCCAGGGCAACACCTTGAACTCTTCATCATATTCCTCAATCTATTCCAACAATATTCTTCAATCCATTCCTCAACACCATTGTCATGAAGGGGTGTACCTGGTCTGCAAAAATGTTTAGGTAGGTGGCACTTGTCAAACTCACATCAACATGAATAGCTGAACTCAGGGTTTCCCAGCAGAACATCACTCCTCCGCCAGGTTGTCCTCATTCCACAGTGCATCCTAGTGCCATTACTTCCCCAGATAAATGGAGTACACGTAGACGGCCGCCCACATGATATAAAAGAAAACTGGACTCATCTGACTTGTCGACCTTCCACTGCTCCAAGGCCTAGTTCCGACGCTCGCGTGCCCATTGTCGGCACTTTTGACGGTGGACAGGTCGGGGTCATCTCTGGCTACTCAGCCCCATATGCAGAAGTGTGCAATGCACTGTGTGTTGACACATTCCTAACATAACCATTATTAAAATTTAGTGTGACTGTGTGCCACAGTAGACCTTCTGTTGGCTAGGACCAGATGGGACAGCCTTCGTTTCCCTTTTGCATCAATAAGCCTTGGGCGCCCGACACCCTGTCGCCGGTTTGTGGTGTGTCCCTCCTCGGACCTCTGTTGGTAAATTCACTACTGACCGATGACTGTCTTTACATTTTTTATATTTTTTTTTAAATATCTCACATTCGACTTGCTTATATGTTTTTACACATATATGATCCTTGATGCTCAAAATCTATGCTATGCAGATAATGAAAACCGGTTGAAAGAAATAAGCGTACTGAAGGTGTATTGTGGGTAATCATGCCAAAACAACTGCCTAGTGTACTCACGTTGGCACTGAGCTGTGTTGTGAGAGCCGAGACCTTCTCCTGTGATGAGTCCAGTTCTCTCCGAAGCTTACGGATCTAAACACACATTAAAGTCAGTTATTCAAACACAAGTCGTGCTGCTAGAAGCTGATTTCTGAAGCTAATGTGGAACCAGTTTGTGGTTTCTCATATAATAATGTGCTAAGGAGAGACTGGCCCTTGATCAGCATGAAAGAGAAACTTTGGTTGCAGACATAAAACACAGAGATTAAAGAGTAGATATCAAGGACAGTTACCAAGAAGACCATCATGACAAACACAGACATTTTCAAGGGTTTAAAAAAAGAGTTACATCAAAGTGTGTTTAAAATTACAAACCAGCTGAGAAAAACAGTGTTTTGGACAGTTTACAGGCTCCCATGTGCAACACACTCAATAATTTACATTATAAGAAATGATGGGTGCTGTTCTCACCTCTGTCTGAGCCTTTTCTTCAGGCTAGAGATGGAAAAGGAAGAAAAGATAAAGATTAATAGTTTGAAAGCGTTTTTGAGCGTAAAGAAAAGATACTTAAATGGGTTTAGTTCACCCACAAATGAAAATTCTGTCATCATTTATTCACCCTCATGTTGTTCTAAACCTGCTTCTTTCTTCTGTTGAACACAAAAGAAGATATTTTGAAGAATGTTGGTAACCAGCCAGTTGACGGCACCCATTGACTTCCATAGTATTTTTTCCCCCCTACTATGAAAGTCAATGGTGCCTATCAACTGTTTGGTTACCAACATTCTTCAAAATATCTTCTTTTGTGTTCAGCAGAAGAAAGAAATGTATACATTAAACTTTAACCATTAAATAACCATTCAACTTTAGCATTTAGCATCAATTCAAAATCTTTTGACTCACCGTAGAGTAAACGGATGACGTGCTAGAGACCAGAGACAAAGAGGAGCCATGAACTATGGAGAGAAGAAAACTTTAGTCAAAATAATATCAAGTATTACAGAGGCGTGTGAGTCATTGCAAAACTAGCATGAAAAATTAGCAGGATAAGCTAGCACATGCTGAAACACCATGAAGTGCTTATAACCTCAGCAAACCGTTACAGCCCGTATATTTCTGATAAGGTATACGTGTATGTTTTTCTTAATCTGTTGCCGAACCAAAAAACCTAGGCAAACAAAAAGGCAATACAAGCTTGAAAAAATAAATGTACTGTGAAATTATTTGTGGATGAGAGGGTATTAAATGTGATGTTGCGATACAAGGTTATAAATCCCCTTTACTGCATATTCGCAAAGAATTATGAGTTTGTGTGTTCCTCTCATTGTATTTTCAAATATAAAAAAATAACTATGTCAAGTACTTAAACTAAACTGCCTTTGAGGTTGCAAAAAGTCAGTGTTTATACAATACAATACAATACAATTTTATTTGTATAGCACATTTAAAAACAACTGACGCTGACCAACGTGCTTAACAAAGCAATAAAAAAGGTAGACAATACATGCACGAAACCTGTTTATGACTAATCTTAAGGAATAAATGATTCCTTCACGCTCCAGAGAAGCAGCTTAAGGGCCGTTTTAACTCTGGACAAAAAAGCTTCACTGAACTTTGAGAACAATTTTTTTATTATTTTTTTTATCACTAAGCCATTATATTATTTTACTTCAAAAAGACATGAATATTGTTGACTCGTAATATTGAATATTGTTGGCTCAAACAATTTGCTTGTGATGTCAGAAGAGTCAATTTGGGTAAAGGAGTCTGCTAAATGAATACATATAAATTGATTACTAAATATATGAAAATAATTATTTGTTTATACACACACACACACACTCACCGGACACATTATTAGGTACACTATTAGGTACATTAATAGGTACACCAGTTTAACTGCTCATTTAACGCAAATATCTAATCAGCCAATCACATGGATTTGTATAGATGGGAACCAATCCATTTAGGCATGTAGACATGGTCAAGATGACCACACCGGGTGCCACTCCTGTCAGATAAGACCAGGAAACTGAGGATACAATACGCACCTCTTACCAAAATTGGACAATAGAATATGGGAAAAACGTTGCCTGATTTGTCATCTGAATGTCTGATCTGAATGTCACAGCCATCAGATGCTGTGACATTCAGATGGTCGGGTCAGAATTTGGTGTAAACAACATGAAAGTATGTTAATTACACATTCATTTCAAGAAATACACATTTATTTAATGGTAAATTTTTACATTTTTAATAAAAAACCAAATTTGGGCAAAAATAACCCTGAAAAGTGGCATTATATTGAGTCATGCATCATGGTGAACAGCAACTGTGTTCTGTTTTGCAAGCCTAAACACCACTGCTCATTGGCACATTGAAATCAACACCATCACCACCTTAGAAAGACATGAATCATGAATACAGAAAGCAAAAGAGAGCCTTGGGATAAGTGGTGTTGAGCCAAGGCAGGCGAGTTAATCATCAAATCAACATTAACTGTGAGGTAAAGGCTGCCGGGCCAACAAAGCCGCTCTTTGTTTGTTTATGCTTTGGCGCAAGTAAGGACACACGTTACAGCCTGACTTTGTCAAAAGCCCTAACATTAATGACAACCTATCATTTAGTTATTAGGTAACAGAACAATGCAGGTCTATTTGCTCTTTTCCAAAAACATGACGTTATGGATTGAGTTGTGATGGTAAATTTTGATGGCAGACAGAAATGATAATAGTTCTTTGTATACACAGCAAATTACACACACACACACAAAAGGTCAAACTCCACTACAACCAAACTCTGTTCAATATAAGTATCATTCTGAAGTCTCACCTTCTTCCAGGCACTCACGGAACGATCCGGAGCTGCTCATAGTGCGGCTCTTTTCCTCCAGGTTCATTGAGGAATTCCTCAGACGTGGGTCACTGTAGGGGTCATATGGGCCGTCGTGATTTCCCTGACCATTGGTCCCGCGCAAAGTTGCCATCTGTGAAGCAGTGGTGGGACTGCCTGGAGTGTCAACACAGGGATCAAGGTTAAATAAGCACTACGATTGAACCCTAATGACATGAATTTGCATTCAAAGTTCACAGTAAGGGGGGACTAGTACTTATTTCAGTTGTTAAATCACATGTAAACCAATAAATTAAATCATAATCCATAAGTGAGGATTCTAACATAAACTTTCTCTTTTTTTGGTAGTTAACTTTTTTGGTAGTTATGATACTCAGCAACAAAAAAATATTACACAATAAAACAATTATGTGTGATTCTGATAAATCGATAATTATTTTCACGTTATGGCAGATGACCAATAAATGGCTGTTTTTAAAATTCTATACTATTTTGACTAAACAAATGAAAAATAAAACACTAAAAACAAATATCAATCATTTTAATCATGCTACAAGTGAATTTAGGCATCACAACATTATAATGTACAGGATCAAAAAAAGTAATTTTGAGATTTAGATCAGAGCAAAGGCACTCTAAATATAAACATACATTTTTAAATAACATTTACATAATTAAATAAACAATATCAACTGATACCATTTAAAATAACAATTAAAACCAATACCAATTACAACTGATAAATAATAATAATAATAATAATAATAATAATATCGACTAATAACTGATATATAGTGCATGCCCAGTATAAACCACAGAAGCAGCCGATAAGACACCGGTTACGCAAGTTTGCTTGTTTTTACCAAGTGTGCTAAAGTTGAAGCGTGTGCCGGAGGGCGAGCTGAGTGTAGAGGCAGGGGTGTAGGGGGTTGAATCTGAGAGGCCAACAGCTGAGGGGGAACACAGCCAATCACGGGCCTCCTCGTGACCTCTGACCTGAGGCCCATGGGTATACCTGCAGGTTTAAAACAAGTGTACATAAGTCCGTAGAACAGAATGATGTTTTTCTCTTTCGCATGAAAGTTCTCATGAAAACAGCTCCAAGAAAAACGCCACAATGCCAGGAAAATCACAGTTATCCAATTTATGGTGGGTAACAGAAAACCTAAGTCCACAGCTATGAACTCCCATATTTATTTGCATACTGCAATATTTAACCAGCAGGTACATATGAAATAAATACCATATTTCATTGTGTACTAAACAAATCAAAACTCACAAACTACACTGGCATACTATTAATATACTGGTATACTATTATCATATGGTATGACATAATCAGGGCTCCAGTCTATGGAGCCACTGGCTCATAAAATTTAACATTTTGGAGATAAGTTATATATTTAGATTGACAGAATTAAAATATTTATTATTAAAAAAAATCTGTTGCGAATGTGTATCTTTAATTACAAGTAACGGTCCACTGTCCATTTTGAATCAGACATAAAAATGTAGAAAAAAAGATTCACTGACAGACCGAGTCTGATTCAAACGAGTTTGAGACCGCTTTTACTTTTTTACTTTCAAAAGATTAATTTGCTTGTGAATTGGTGAAACTGTGTTCGTTGCATGTAGGAAACTGAAGTAATTAACTCCACCTTACAGGTAGATTTTAAATCACAAGCCCTAATCACAATGCACACAAGCAAGACAAAAACACGAAGCAAAAGTGATCATTTGACCACACATACAGTATAGCATTACCTGTCCTGTTTCCGTGGCAGAGTGCTGTGGGTAAATTTAGGGCTAGCAGAGGGCGAGGAGGACTGAGGGCTAGAGAAGGGTACAGGGGCAGACAAAACAAAAAGAAGCAGATAAAAGAGACAGAAAAAGGAGAGGAGATAAAGAAATGATTAAAGAGGAGTACATGTAAAGGAAGGTAGATCGTAAGTAGAGATAGAAATGCTATTTTCAATTCACAAACAGCTGGACGCATCATTTGTGTAGATGTAAAGTTAGCATGGTTGAACAATTAATTTCTTACCTGTCTGAGAGGCCAGTTCTAGCACTGTTGGTCCGATTAAGACATAAACCTTCCTTTCCCAAGGAAACATTTATAGAGTCACTACTGGTGTGGTTGGAGCTTTGACAAGGGAAGCCCAATCCATCCCTGCCTCCCCAAGGAAAGAAAGCCGATCCTGGGCTGGAGGCCACAGAAGAAAGCGTCTGCTCTCCATGACCTCCAGAGGGCACCGTCAGATTGTCACTGTAAACTGGACCGCTGCCTCCGCTGGTGACAGATGGCGTCTCCAGACAACCATTCTGCTGGATGGACTTGGTATGGGGATTGGAGATGATGGTGGAGTTCTTCATGTTCTCCATGGTGGTGACCGGAGATTGCTTATTGCAAGATTTGCTACCAAAGAGTCTGGTTGCAAAGGGGGAGAGGGATTTAACAATGAGACCGAATTTTTAAAAAAATAACTAAAATGGTCGCAGTGCGACCAAAAGTAAACATTTTGTGACAATAATTGAAAATCTAGGTTTTGTCAGTTGCCATTGTCACATGCACGCAGCAATGACCACACAGCCGTGATGTTCTTTTTAGTGAGTCAGTAAAAAATATTCATGAAACTGTCTCAAACTCACTTGTAAGTTAGCAGTTTGAATCAGATAATCAGTTAGAGAATCGTTCATAGAGCAGGCATGCGATGAGTGATTTCCCAAAAAACGACTATTGTGAACCATTTCTTTTTAATGCGTCAGTCAAAAAGATTCTTGAAACGGTCTCAAAAATCACAGTTTGAATCAGACTCAATCTTATAATTTGTTTTTACTGCGTCAGTCTAAGATTTACAAACTTGCTTGTGAGTTAGTGGTTTAAATTAGATTCACAGCGATTAGTGAGTTCACAATTGACTCCCTCACTGAATCATGAGTCAGTTTTTGGTTATGGCAGATTCAAAGTGAACTTGAAACTGTAACTGTGATGTATATTTTAGGTTTGTAGGAATCATTCTATTTACAGACTGGTTATTAATATGAAAACATGTAATTAAAGATACATTTTCAAAACAGAAATCTATTGTAATAAATGGTAATTTAAAAAAAATATTATTAGTTATGCTATTCATTAACAAAGTAAGTTAATTGTATTAGTCTTTTGTTGTTGGGTGTCCAATCCTGCTCCTGGAGGGCCACTTTGTTTCAAAATTTCGCCTAATTAAACACACCTGAACCATCTAATAAAGGTCTTCAGGATCAGTAAATGTCCAAGCAAGTGTGTTGGGGCAGGTTGGAGCTAAACACTGCAGGACATTGGCCCTCCAGGAGCAAGATTGGACACCCCTACTCTTCACAAAAGAAAATATGAGATAAGGAAAGTCTGGCATCTCTGATTTTTCTCATTACTTCATGGACTGACTGGTCAGATAACATCAGTCTATCTGTAGTCTGGTTCTACTAACTAGGAGAGCAATCAGTCAAAGCTAGCAAGCTAATCAGCTAGAACAAACACTAGCTTCTTGGTCTGTGCCATGTCTTAGAGAAACATCAAGAAGCCCTAAGAAAATGCACTTGTGGTGGCCAGAAGACGCCTTTCAAGCCTCAGAATCTCAACCAACATCAAATCGCTCAGATAAACAATGAGTTCTGTGAACGCCGTCCAGCACCCAAGGAGGAGAATATTCTGGAACTCACACAACACAGCTGAGAACTGCTGTGTAAATATTTGAGGGACCTAAAATGGTGCTTTCATCCACATCAAGTAGAAATCATGCTTTTGCAAAATAAATTTTTCATCCACAGTCTTTCAAGTCTTCATAAGCTAAACTCTGTGAATCTGGAGAACTTACCTACGAAGGGTTGGCGAGGACATTTCTGAATACTTTCCTCCTGTTTGCCTTCCAGCTTGGCACTGAGTTGGCATCCCCGTCTGGGTAGTTGCGCTAGTCTTAAGTACCTGGCTCTCCACATCGGAAAATATACCCTTCTCTCGGTCCGTCTGGTTAGTAGTTCCCATTGGGGACTTGACTAAGTTGCGACTCTTAGGGTTGGGAAGTGTGGCAGTACCCTTATTGCAAAAATTAGCATCAAGACTCGAGATGTTAGTGCGGTTAGAACAGCGAGCGGTGCCGGTACGGCTAGGTCTCGGTAAACTGCGATACTGAAGAGTTGTCCGAGCACTTGGAGGAAGGTATCCATCATCAAGAGCCGTCTGCGGACACACAATTCGACTCCCAGAAAATCCGACCGATTTTGGTATCTTGCCCAATGTAGCGGAGCCGCTAGTTACCACAGCACCACTCGTGGTTATTGTCCCCATTGCGCCCGGAGCCTTCTTGAAGCCAAAAGTACTGGTCGGGGTGCGTACGGTTGAATTGAGTGGAGGTTTCTTGGTGTCATCAACACTTGAGGAATGAGTGCCGTTGGAGCGGCCTTTCTCTGACACCTTAGCATCGTCGGTCTTACTTGTGGGATGATCAACGACACGGACTGTTGAGCACAAAAGGAAATCATGTTTTCAACAGTTTTGAATACAGTAGCACAGTCCATGTCGTGACTCATCTGAACATAAGCCTTAGCCAAGGTGATCTGTGATAAGATTTATTTGGGTGTAATCCCTCAAGAAACCACATGAAAACAGAGACATGGCTCAGTCAGTGTTGTTATCGTTAACTAAAACTATTTAAAAAATGTTAATTGAAATATTAGATTAAAACAAACTTTAAAAATTTAAATTTAAAAAATGTAACCTTGGTTACAAACTTTTACAAAAAATTGCTAAACTGAAAGAAAAATTAATTAAAAGCAAATATTAAAGAAATATATAAATGACAAAAGCACATAATATTAAAACAAACAAAACTTAAAAAGAAAAATCACAACATAAAAATCAAAATCAAAATATTAATAAATACTATCATACTATATAAATAGCACTGGACTAGATTGTATTTAGCCTCAAGCCCCTGTCATTCTTATTTTTTAGCTCTGTGAGCAAAATAAACTGTAAACAAAATATTTAACAAAATACAAAAAATTAACTGTTTACATTTCAGTTATTTTTAAAGGAACAAATCAACCTAAAATGAAAATTCAGACATCATTTATTCACCCTCATGTCACTCCAAACCTGTCTGACTTACATTCTTCTGTGGAGCACAAAAGGAGATACATTGAAAAATGCCTCAATGTTTTTTGTCCATACATGTTAGTGTTCTTCATAATAACTTCTGTGTTCCACAGAAGACGACGACATACAGGTTTGAAAAGACATGAGGTTATGCTAATTGTGACATCCATGCAACATCATGTCTAAACTATTACCATGTGCCTTGAGTGAGCTGCAGTTTGTAGGTGTTGTTGCCTTCGTCCGTGGGGAAGTGACGGCCACCTGAGCGGTCATTCCCCGCCTCCAAGAGCCCGTCTGGGAGATGGTAGGAGTCTTGCGACCCATCAAGCTCCGTTCTGATTCATCTGAGAAATCTGAAGACCTGTGGTTCCATTTGGTTGTGGTCTCCATTTTGATGCCACCGTTAGAGCAGCCTTCTGAACGTTTAAGGTCGTTGTTGGACCAGTTGGGGTTGTGTTTCACTGCAGAGTGCTTCTCTGCATCCGTCTGGAGCTGTGGGAGAGAAAACTAAATCATTAGCCGCAAAGAAATGTTCTGGTCTTCAAACCTCAGAGAATATAAATCTGCTTTTTTGCAAATCAGTAAAATGTCTATCTATGGTATGTGTTATGTGGTATTATATGTGTTCTACACCGGTTTAATTTCTCGTTAACACAAACATCAAATAAGCAAATCACGTGGCAGCAACTCAATGCATTTAGGTATGTAGACATGGTCAAGACGATCTGCTGAAATTGAGCATCAGAATGGGGAAAGGTGATTTAAGTGACTTTGAACGTGGTATGGTTGTTGGTGCCAGATGGGCTGGTCTGAGTATTTCAGAAACTGATGATCTACTGGGATTTTCACGCACAACCATATCTAGGGTTTACAGAGAATGGTCTGTAAAAGAGTGAGCGGCAGTTCTGAGGGCGAAAATGCTTTGTTGATGCCAGAGGTCAGAGGAGAATGGCTAGACTGGTTCGAGCTGATAAAAAGGCAACAGTAACTCAAATATCCACTCATTACAACCGAGGTCTGCAGAAGAGCATCTCTGAACGCACAACACGTCGAACCTTGAACAGCAGCAGAAGAACACACCGGTGTCACTCCTGTCAGATAAGAACAGGAAACTGAAGATACAATTCTAACGGGCTCACCAAAATGGGACAATAAAAGACTGGGAAAACCTTTGCCAGGTATGAGGAGTCTCAATTTCTGCCAAGACCTTTAGATGGTAGGGTCAGAATTTGGTGTAAACAACATGAAAGCATGGATCCATCATGCCTTGTATCAACAGTTCAGGCTACTGGTGGTGTAATGGTGTGGAGGATATTTTCTTGGCACACTTGGTTTGGTCCCTATTGAGCCTGACCATGTCCATCCCTTTATGACCACAGTATAGTACCCATCGTCTGATGGATACTTCCAGCAAGATAACGTGCCATGTCAAAAAACTCGAATCATCTCAAACTGGGTAATGTCAATATGGACCAAAATCTATAAGGAATGTTTCCAGCATCTTGTTGAATCTATGACAAGAAGAATTAAGGCAGTTCTGAAGGCAAAAGGGGGTCCAACCCAGTACTAGCAAGGTGCATCAAGTGAGTGTACAGTGTGTACGGGCAAGTGGCCAGTGAGTGTACATATTGCATATAGTTTTGTGAAAAAAATGTAATGTTTACTCTTTTTTTTTTTTTTTTACAATGTCAATATAAAAGTAAATTATTTAATATGGGAAACAATTGTTTAATTTTATAATATCAGACTTGATATTTCTTACACATGGTAAAAATGATTGATTATAGATAAAATCATATAACTGTTTTCTCATTTTCAGAAGCGGATTCCTGCCAAAGGGATCATCATATTTGAGAGAACTTTGCATGAAAAAGTAAATAAAAAGTATTTGGACTAATATATAAAAAAATGTCTGTAATGACAATTGAGATGCAATATCACCGACAGCTAATTTGCGTCTTATTTATTCAGCAACAGCATCAACAGTCATCATAAAATCTGATTATGTGAGACATAAGGGCCAACTCGTTCATTGCATGACCTTCCATAACGTAGCCAAGATGACATCACCCCCTTTTAGAAAGACCGTTGTTCAGCTGCTACTGAAAATCCACATAAAAAATTATTGCCAGGGAAAGAATGTTAATAGTCTCCAGTTGTTATCAGGCCAATTCCAAAACATTGTTATCTCAACGCCGATACAATAAATCCTTCCTCCACTCCAGCCTGAAGAATGAGGGGAGACTATATAGGGAAAAAGTACAAGGGTGTGGAAGTGAAAGTGGCAGATATTTGGCTTCAGACGCACTTTTGAGTCACGGTTCTAAACTCTTTGAATTTGAAATCAGGTTACTAGCAGGTTTATTGTAGTTAACTAAAACCCTAAAAAACATTTTCATTACTTGAAATAAAATAAACATCAACAAAAAAAAACAAAAAAAACGAAAAAAAAACATTTCAGCTAGTTGCCAAAGCAAATTTTTTTTTAGTTTTCATTTATGCCAAGGTCACACAGCAGCAGAATACGGTTGTCAGTCCTAGTAATTGAGTCCTAAATACAATTACGTTCACACACATTTCAGTTATATACCGGAGTGACAACCGCATTCTATAACTGAACTCACACCTGTACATTTTTAGAACTCAAAACCACATTCTCGGAAAACCCTTGCTGAGTGAACAGAACCGGACTGGACAACGACTGTCACGTCATACAGTGCGAGAGAGCCGCTCTGCACTGCACAAACGCGTGTGTTGTAGTTTTTCGTGTGTGGTTTTGCTTTCTGTAACTTACAGCGACAGAGATATGAGCTGTGTGTCATCTGAAGGTTTTAGATCCAGTCCCTGTTCTCAACCGGAGCGGCTCCCATTAGTAACTCAAATGCTCCGCTCTCCACCCAGATATAAAAGCTACGGATGAACTCGGGACTCAATTGGACTCTTGTTGTGTCCAAAGAAATAAGACTTTTCAGTTGTATGGACGTCGCCATCTTTGATATAACTTTGGTCACTGTCGTTATGGTTACTGGTAAGAGAATACAGGCTTGACTCCTGTTGCACGTTCATACAGACAATATTCGAGACGCTACTGTAAGTTGCTGTTTGAACGGGACATTTCGAGACTCACACCTGTAAGTAAATGCGGTTGTCATTCCCAAAGACTGTGTGAATTGAAAAAAATTCAGTGTGAACGTAGCCATTGTTTAAATTGATGTACTAAGATTAGTGCTGTCAAACGATTAAAATATTGAATCGCGATTAATCGCATTAATGTCATAGTTAACTTGCGATTAATCGCAATTAATCGCTCATTTTTATCTATTCTAAATGTCTCTTGATTTGTTTTTGTCCCATTATTTTTTCTCATTTTAATGCTCTTATCAACATGGAAAAGTGGATCGGCTTGCTTTGTGCAAATGTTATTTTATTGAAAACAACATTGACAATACTGTGTTGAATTTCACACAAACATTCTCACTTGGAGCAAATAATCTCTCACACAATGTAACACTGGCCATAAAAGGGTGAAAGAAATACTGACGAGGTCCTGATACTGACGAGGGGGCGGAGAATTCGCATCAGCTGTGTGTGTGTGTGTGTGTGCTTGGCCATCATCAAGTGGTATTTCAGACTGGACGTGCTGCGATGATGATAGCTCAGTTCACAACGAAAAAACACACAGATCACTTTGGTCTTGTCAATGGAACCATTTGGCAACTTTTTAAAAGTAAACTTTCCATTCAGAATCTTATTGGCATCCATTTCGGCGTCTCGCCCTCGTCATCCACTCAAAACGTAAAGTTAACCTACTATTTGGCCGGCTCGCAAGCCTATTGTGTGCGGCGTCGTGCCTGTTGTTTTGTTTCCGGTCTAGCTAGATCCGCTTGCGCTTTCAAAACGACCTCACGCGGCCGCGTCCTGTTGCAAAATCATGTGAAAAAAAGTTTGCTAGGCCAAAAAGACCGTTAATCGCGCGATAAAAAAATGAACGCCGTTAAAATGGGTTTGCGTTAACGCCGTTAATAACGTGTTTAACTGACAGCCCTAACTAATATATATTTAAAAAAAAAAAAAAAAATCTATATAGAAATATTTTAAACAATAACTGAATAAGAACATTAAAGTGACAAAATACACAACAAAATTACTAAAACTTAATTAAATTAAAATAAACCTAAACAAAAATAAAAACTAATTTGAAATAATAATAAATAAATAAAAACTGAAATAGAATCTCAATAATATTTAAATAACACTGGGTACGGAAATCCACATCTGGGCCTTTTTTTTTTGCAGTACCAAGATCAAAAACAAATGGAGAAACATGAGTGTTTTCATCTAAGGAGATGAATATGGAGGACTGTAGATAAATAAGGTCACGGATTTAACATTTAAAGACCAACACAAATGCACAAACCGAGAAGCCACAGGTGTGGACAGACTTATTGGCACAGAACCCAGGGTACCACGTCTGGATTTACAGAGCTCATCTTGTTAGAACAGGCTAGATAGACACAGTGTCTTAGCTTCACTGTACTGGTCCATTTGTTCAGCATATGTTAACCTGCTTTGAGCTTGTAAAGATGATCAATCACTGGGGCAGAGTTGAGTCAGTCTGCTGACTCACACTCACAAAGACTGCACACAGCAGGTTCAGGCCAATTCTGATAAGGGCCCACCAATGTTTCATTGAATCAAAAGGGACAATGAAGCAACAGAACCGCTCCCAAAGCAGTGCTATAAATGTGAAGGCCTGTTTTTGATTGCATGTAATGATAAACAGAGATGGTGAATACAATTAAAGGACTTTTTAACAGTTCAACATGATTTTTGTAAGACTGCAAGATTTCTCTGTATTATGGCTCTATATATGGGTGTCTTCAAAGTTAGGCACTTTTATGCCCCAGGGGTTGATTTTTATTAAAATGAACAGATTTCAAAGTTTTATATAAAGGTTTACGATGCATTTATTATTTATATTAACTATCAACCCTAGTGAAGAAAAAAAAAATATACCAAAATGTATTTGAAATACATTTATTTTAGGCTAAGTGTACTACAAAAACATACAAATAAAATTACATATTTATGTACTTAATATAAATACCCTGCAATTAATAAGTATACTTTTTTTAGTATAAATTTGGTATACTAAATTGGTATACTTAAAGTCTGCTAAATTGGAACAATTAAATTTGTACTTAATGCACTTTAGTTAACTGAAAATAGTGCTGAGGTCAAACTAAAGATATACTTAAGGAAAGTGGTAAAGTGGAACTATTGCAAGTAAAAAAATTGTGAAAAGAATCTGTATAAAAAAAAAAAAAAAAAAAAAAAATATATATATATATATATACTGTATATATTTAAAACCATTCTATACATTTTTAAATAAATACATATAATATAATTTCTCTTTCTATCTATCTATCTATCTATCTATCTATCTATCTATCTATCTATCTATCTATCTATCTATCTATCTATCTATCTATCTATCTATCTATCTACAGTATATATAGAACGATAGATGTAGACTTTATAATGTTAATGTTTTTTAAGTGCTCTGTTGTTTCCCATGTGAAGTTCTACAGATGTTTCTGATTCTGTAGACCACGAGGCTCTGAAGTTGCCTTTGGAATCAATGACTGACCTGTTCATCTACGTCTCTGTGTGGGACAGATGGGGTGTTGACGTAGGAGCTAAGGGACGAGCTGGTGTTGAGGTCATCTGTGTCCAAGGTGTCACTGATCCCGCTGCTGACTGAGCTGCTGTCGTCCCAACTGAGAACAAAGAGGAAAGAGAGAGGAACAGATTATTCTCTCTGAGGAACATGATATCAATATACTGAAAGGAAGACTGCGAGAAATAAAACAGAATACATGGATTCAGAATGTTCAGCATAATATGGAAAATGTAGGAATGGAAGGAAAGGTAAGCAAAAACAACATCTGTGGACTGTGGAGAGTCATGAAGTCTGCACCGGGACAGTGAGGGCATAAAAACCTGCATTCCCATCATGCTTCAGACATTAGGCGCGTCTCTCTGCTCCTCAAAACTTGTTTTAATTAGCTCTGCGCCTCAAATTCTCAGTGCGCTCTGCTTGGCCATCCCCCTATCCCCCCACGAAATCCATTAGGATGCTCAGCAGGACTCAACCAAAATCATATGGACCAAAGGCACTACTGGATAAAGGGAAAACCTAGTTGTGAGAGGATTTGGATTGTACATTTTATTGTCAAATCATAAAAACTGACAGCAATAGAATTAACAATTGTGCAATTGTAGCTTAAAAGAGGCTAAAAAAAGTGTACAAATTTGTAAAAACCTGACAAAATCAGCAGTTGTGCTATTTTAGCTTAAATATGGCAACATTTTTATGGGTTTTTAAAAAAATAAAATTTGACAACAGAATTATCAATTTTGAAAATGTATTTCGAATCAGGCTAAAATACACATTTATTTGACAATACCAGAATTAGCATTTTGCTGCTTTATCTCAAATCACGAAAAAAGGTTCTTATATATGAGCAATATCACATGATTATATGTAATATGGCTCCATATCAGCATGGCTGTGATTCAGCAATAGGTAATCACAGCTGTGCTGATATAGAGCCATATGGCACAACTACGAGTGTGATATTGCTCATATTTAAAACATACTTTTGGAGTCTGGACAATAACAGAATCATACATTTGGATAATTTATTTTGAATGAGGCTAAAAAAACAATTTATCCATGTATCCTAATTTCATACGACCTGATTCTCAAGATTCTCAACTCAAGATTTGAGAGAGAGAGAAAATGACATTTGCTGATATGAATGTATTGTGGGTTTGTAAACAGGAAGTCCCTCCATGCTATTTGCTAAATCCAAACACAGACTGCCCAAACTCCCACAAGTCACCAGTTATGGCTACTCCAGCCTCGAGCGATGCTAAAAGAACTAGCTTTATCAACAGTGTGTGGCAACAAAACATCTTATCGACACTGAAGATACCACCTAATCCTCCTCATTTCTCATGATCATTCAGGCAAACAAACCAGCCCATAAGCTCATTCACAGACAGTCATGAATCAAGAGAGGCGTGTGTTCAAACATCCACCACAGTTCTGACGTCCTGCGAAAAACCTGAATAGATACTTGTTTTGATATGAGCAAAGTCCCCATAGCTCAAGTCTGTCATAACTGACTCGACATAACTGGCGTGGAAGGACGTCTGTGGTTCCTGTTTTAATGAGCTGTGAGAAAGTTGGTCCCATTGGAGCTATTTGTCACTAATAGCTCTCACACACACACTGTGCTTTTGTGTTTGTCTGGTTGCACGTGTCTGCTTAAATGATCTGCTTCATTCATCATTTGCCATATGCTGTCAGATGCTATAGATGGCGAATGCAAACAAACACCAAAAGCCCCCCAAAATGGAAAGAAAACAGACACGAATGAGTCACTTCTTCCTTTTTAAAGACGCCATGAAATCCAAATCATTGTTTTGTGGATTTTAGTGCATTTGGTTTATCTGAAGCCATCTACATAGTAGTGCCCTACTAACAGATTTAGTAAAAGTCTTTGCCTTCTAAGAAAATGCAGAAAAAAATATTAAAATTGAATTATTATATTAATTTTGAATATACATTAAATATTAGTTTATTATTGATACTATTCAAATGATTAATTAGAGAATATTTTTAAATAATATTTTACATAACATTAATAGATAGATTATTAAATGGAATGAGAACGCCTATATTAATATTAAATGTTATTTTTTTATATTCATTAAATATTAATTTACTACTAATAATAATAATATTAAATTATTCATAAGATATTTTTATTAGATTATTTTAGCATGAGAATAATTAAAAGTTTTATTAAATTAAAATGAGAACCTGCCACCTGAAACTGGCTCGTAAAAGTAAAAAAGGGGGAAAACTATATTTAAAAAGTAAATACGAAAGGTCAGTATTTATTGTAAATATTGTAAATAGTAAGTAGTATTTTATTGCAGAGTACATATAACTTTATACTACAAGTAAAACTAATTAATTCTTTAAATACGTTGTATTGAATGAATGAGGTCAGCCCGACCAACTACTATGCAATATTGTCCAGAATAACAGAATAGGTCAACATACAATTTCCTTGTTGACCAGCAAGTCAACCTCTGATCTTCACAACAACAAAACAAAGTTCTGCAAATGTTCCACACAATACTTCTCACATGAAAGCGGGAGAAAGAGAGGGTGTGGGTGGCATAGAGGGTAGAGGTGGGTCAGAAAGTGGTACTTTTATAAACGTTCAAAGAATTTATTCCTCTCTTTCTTTCTTTCCAATATAATCCAAAGACATTCCTCCCCTTGCTTTGCCCAAGTGCAAACCAGCCCAAAATAGAAGGGGAGTGTGCAAAATATTGCCTCTGTTTGAATTCCATGCCTCATTCTAAAGAGTTCAAAGGAATTTTCTGAAATGCCAGAGAGAAAATAAACATTTTGAATAAATTAAAAGCACAAAACAGAGTTAAAAACTAACTTAAGAACTATTGGTAAAGAGTGCCTACAACCACTCAGAGGAAAATATTATGGCTCATCTGTCATATTCTCAATTAAAATAAGACAATTATTGACATACAATAAAAGTACAGAGACATTGATGTGAATAACATATCACAGATCATTTTCTCATGTTGAAATATGACTTTTTATTGCAAAATCATTTGTATCGAGCACAATGGTTGAGGTCGATTTTAGAACGAGATATGTGAGATTTGTGAGACATAGGTGAAATTGTAACATCAAGCCTCAAAAAGAATGCAAAATGACCATGAACATTTGATAAAAGTAGTCCATACATCTCATGCACTATTTACCAGGTCTTCTAGAGCCAATGAACAAACCATTCTGAATGATTTGTTCACAAATGACTCAGTTCTTGAGTTCAAATCACTGACTTGTGTGATCACAGCTTACTGGAGATGAAGATTAGATATGAATACCGACTTAAATTTGGTCTGTTTCTTACCTCAAGTTATTGAATGGCTTCAGAGTACTTCAAATATAGCAAATGGGTTGTGCGGACTACTTTTATGAATCTTTAGGATTCTCTTAAGGTGATTGTGTCCTTTTTTAGGCTTGATGTCTTTAGTCAGCATTCCTTGTCATTGTATTGAAAAGTGCTAATTTCTCATCTTATGTTCCACAGACAAAAAGTAATTTGGGTTTGGAATGATACAAGGGTGATTAAACAATGACAAAATGTGCTTTATTTAATCCCAACTGCAGTCTAAGAGGCAAATCATACAGTCAAATCTCCATATATCATAAACAGACACCCATCTGAGATGCTTTAAATAAAACGGCAGAAACCTTCTCTCGGTCTGACCTGCTTTGTTTTTCACACAATCCCTCACCCTAAACACCGACAACATTCACCAATAATCTTAAACTAATATTATGAATTGGCAAATTTAATTAATTAGCAGTGACAGAGGACACAGGTGTGACACGACTGAGCGCAAACCGCCCCAAAACAACCTGTCATCTATCCCACCGTAGTCAAACACGTGCGTGCATGCAGAAACACCGGCACCCGTCCCTTCCCCCGTCTGGGACATTAGATTAGTGTCAAGCCCCAAAGAAGTAAAAGCATATAGTGGGGGTTGATCCACAGGGCAGGAAATTGGTTTTTTTTCTAAAGACCTGTTATTAGAAGAGCAGTGTGGAGTTGTGAGCTACAGCTTGACTGCACACACCACCCTTGTCCTGTTTGCTTTGGGTGGCCTATCAATTAGTTCTGCAAGGATACCCATCTCTACAGCAACCCCAGCCCTGTTGCCAGGCATTGTGGGAGATCGGGAAAGGTACTTTAACCAGGAACAGCAAGAAAAAAAGTTGACAAGCTTGTTGCTTTGAGAAAAATGTTCATGGTAATTGTTATGGCGGTGGCGACTATGATTTTTTAGCTTTCCAAATGTTGGAAAATTATTTTTAAAGTTACAGCACAGTTTGGGGTTGGCAAGATTTGTTGTTTGTTTGTGAAAGAAGTCTTATGCACACCAAGGCTGCATTTATTTGATCAAAAATACAGAAAAGAAATGTAATGTTGTGAAATATTATTACAATTAAAATTTTCTGTTTTTTATTTTAAATACATGTACTGAATATTCAGCAGCCATTACTTCAGTCTTTAGTGTCATCTCTTATTATTATCAATGTTGAAAACAGTTGTGCTGCTTAATATTTTGTTGGATTTTCTTTTCAGGATTCTTTGATGAATATAAATGTGAAAAGAACAGAATTTAGACCAAATAGAAATCTTTTGTGACCTTATACATGTATTTACTGGCATTTTTGATCAAGTTAAAATACAGAATAAAAGTATTCATTTCTAAAAACAAAATAAAATAAAAATCTTTGACGGACCCCAAACCATTGAATGATAATGTGTTTAAATAAAGTAAAACAGACAAAGCTGTGACAGTGTCCTAAATTTTGAGATTGTCAATACCTGAAAAAAAGCAAGAAAGACGTTTCTTGACACACGTACTGTACCAAACCTGAGCACAGTCACAGTCCTCACCTTTCATAACGTCACAAAATACATAAAGTACATAAATCATACTGGAAATTGTGGCTTAAATTGTGATTTCTGAGTATACTGTATAAAATTAAACATGACGACAATCATTATCATACACATTTACTGTAAAAATCCAATTCTTAATCAGTATTTTTTTTTTTTGTCAACAAACAAAAAAACTTTACAAATGCACCTGAGAA